GTTTGTGTAAAGTATGACTGTATATATGCTCTACAATTGCCCTCCAATGTTAGAATCTCGTCAGAACTTTCTGTAAAGTATAGCTTTTCATTTTTCAGATAGCAAATCCAGTTGATTTTGCTTGAGATTTTCATCTTTTTCAGCTTTACAACTAATAGTATTGCTTGATTGTTTCAGAATTAAATCAGCTCCAGTCTTTATGTATGTATGTATAGGTTACAAATTCAGTCGACAGCTTTGCGTTATCAATTATATATTTATTTGAATGTTTCTTTGATAATTTATTTATTTATTTATTTATTTGCTCAATTATTTTCTTCTTCGGTAATCAGCTTCGTCAGAATAATCTATCAGTTAAAGAAATAATGACTATCTAATTACTCCGCACATTCCTACTCATAGGTATATAAAAATAAATTGTAATGATCAATTTCTCATTTATACTTGGTTATACGATGAGCTTGGGAACTTTCCTGACCAAACAGAATCGCCAAAATGAAAGAATTACTGTCGAAAATTTAAAAATTCTAGAGCGCGAAAAATCGCTTTGTCCAGCATTCATTGTTATGAATGAATCAACTGCCATTTTTTTTTGACAAGTGCTAGATAGTAGTGAAAACTTGAAAAGATACATACAAACATTGACTAAACCTAAATTTTATCTTGTAAATTCTTTCAATGAAAATCTTCATAACTTCATCCCATCGAGCTTTGATTCTTCAGCTTGAAACTTTTCCAGAATACTGTCCTTCTCTCAAAGCTGCTTCAAAACCTCAGTAAGTGGACAAATGGAGCAAAACGTCGTCAAAAGATCAAAACATTCTCCTTGGTCCATAAAAGTTCCTCTCTAGTATTTATGGTTGTACACCAGGAGAGGTCGAACTTCCGTACGCCTGCACATCACTGATAAGAATTGAGACCAAAATAAGTTCTTTTAGAATGAGTCAGTGATAACGATGGTGCAACAAAAATCAGTGGTTACCATTTTAAGAAAAAAAAGTGTGCAACACCTAAGCGTTTCGAAGTTACAGCTGATTATGGGGGGGGGATTTTTTAGTTTAGAAATTTTATGAGAGCTTTATCGCTTGTTTTTGCATGGATACGACAAAGAGTACAGCGCACAATTTGTTTGCATTTATCTTAGATAAGAGCTCATTTTCTACACCAATCAACATCTTCAGTAGTTAACCGAGCTTCCAAACATTTATTTTCAACGTAGACACACTGTTTGTCAAAGTGTCTCCCCCCCCCCGCCGAATGTTTTGCAACTCGGCGTGTGTGCATGTGTGTGTGGTTGCTGGCGTAGGTCTGGTTGTTTTGTCACCGTCAGGGGGGCAGATCTTCTGGCGTTATCACTTTACAACATTCATATTGTCCTGGTCTACTGTCGAGTAAATCCGTAGAATCCTATAAGTTCTGTTAGAATACGTAATCTTCGCCAGAAGTGGGTAGAGCGTGCGCGCGAGAGCAGGTGCAAATTTTTGCCGTGGAGCAGATCGCGCGCGCCATCGTTGTAATTCGAGGATCAGAGATCACACATTCATAATTTTTTCCTGAGTGCTAGCCATCAATGCCGTGTCCCGTTTATGATGTGTAATGAATTTGAGTGCGTAGCACGAAATTTGAGCTGCACGCGATTGCTGCGAACTTTCGTTACAATGGAAGCGAAATTTGTACGAATGACGATTTCTGTGTGAAATCGCAAAGAATTTTCGCTTTCCGGTATTAAACTCTAGAGATCTAAATTTTAATAAAGGCATATTTTGCATGTTTGGTCTTAGATGCTCAGGCTGATTGTAATCTGCAAAGAATTCTATGAATTACTTGCAATTATTACGTCAATTTTGCTTGAAGCCTGAATTTTATTTCAGAACGTTAAGCAGAAAGAGGAATAGAAAACTTGACTTACATATGAATGTCATTTTTCAGACTAAGAGAAAAATTTCCTGACATTTCTGAACTTAGAAAATAATTTGTAAATAATAATCTTTGCTCGAGAGTAGTAATGATTTGTCCTTCTATAATTCCTTCCCCTTCTCAAGACAGAAATGACGAGATGCTTCCTGCTTTCGATTAATTTCTGTACTTTTAAACACCATTTTGGCTCTTTGATGCACACTCTCTCCTATGATAAAAATATAATTTTTCCAAGTAAAAGAATTAAATTAAAGTATTAGGTTGTCCCATAAGTCTTTTCATTTTTGAATTTTCGCTATAATAAGTCACACACTTCTTATTCTAAATAGACGTCAGGATACCATTCGATAGAGCAAAGCAAGCTCTATAAGATGGCGTTTACGCTTTCGCACAAGCTTTGGTCTATCTCAAGTTTTAAACCAAAATCTAAAAAGTTTCGGATGGCCAAAAAACCGAAATTTTTTTATATCTTCGTTCAAAAAAATCCTACAAACCTCAAACTTGCTCACGTATAAATATTTCACATAGGACATTCATATGTGCTGTTGCTGCATTTTTTTATCAGCTAGAAATCAAGAAACCGAAAATTTTCATGTTTTTACCAAAGTGATGCTGTGCTGTTCTTACACTGACAGTTGTATACCACAAGCCCTTAGAAGTACAACTGTAATTTTTTAGCTTTATATAAGCTCTAGTTCCCGAGAAAGGTTGATTTAAGCGTGAAAAACCCAAGTGAAGAAAGCTAAATTTGATATTTCTCGTGAACTAGAGCATATAGAGAGCCAAAAATCTACTGCAGTGCTTCTGAGGGCTTCTACTACACAACTGCTTGTGTAAGAACAGCACAGCATCACTTTGGTAAAAACATGAAAATTTTCGGTTTCTTGATTTCTAGCTGATAAAAAAATGCAGCAACAGCACATATGAATGTCTTATGTGAAATATTTATACGTGAGAAGTTTGAGGTTTGTAGGATTTTTTTGAACGAAGATATAAAAAAATTTCGGTTTTTTGGCCATCCGAAATTTTTTAGATTTTGGTTTAAAACTCGAGATAGACCAAAGCTTGTGCGAAAGCGTAAACGCCATCTTATAGAACTTGCTTTGCTCTATCGAATGGTATCCTGACGTCTATTTAGAGTAAGAAGTGTGTGACTTATTATAGCGAAAATTCAAAAATGAAAAGACTTATGGGACAACCTAATAATTTCTCAAGGTAAAAAAAATTGAACTTCCATTTTAGATACCTCATTACTGCATGAGTATAGAATGATATTTGGTTCAGATAATTTAGAATAATCTTTGTGGTTCTGAGCTCTCATTCCCCTTCACCATCTATCATTCAAACGGCAGGAACCTCATAAATACTCGGTTCGATAAAACAGAGAAAAATGCACTTTTGCCTAATAGTCACTCGTTTATGCCCAAAAATCTTGGTAACACTTTATTTGAGGTTTGATTACCATGAAGTTTGATTTCTATGCCTTCTTCGAGACTTATCAGTAAGGGGAAATCCCAAAATTATTTATAGGAATTTTTGCGAAGTTGTTAAACTCATCTTACATTGTACCAATCATCTCCTACTTGCTGATAGTTCTTTCGATTCTTTTTGTTTGTAAGACGTAAAGAATTGTACAGCTGATTTTCTGTTGTGATATCAAATGTGATAAATAGATCATACAGGGCGTCTTAAAAAAATGTGCCTACTGTTTGATTGTTTAACTCTCTTCTAATGAAATCATTCGAGAAGGTTTAAGTACCATTTTGTAGAGCTGGCTTATATTTATGCTATGGAGCGGATTACCGACGCTTTCCGTTACTGTATTATTACGGTAGGAACATTGAAGAGAGGTTGCCTCAGAAAGAAAACAAAATAAACTGAAACCTCTCACACTCGGCTAGTTAGAGCTGCTAATTCTGAACATGAAGTTCACTACTCATCACAACGCTTCATTAAAAAGTTATGCGTAAAAAGCAGTAGCAGCCGTTACTTCAATGTTCCTTAAAAGTGCGGTTATAACACTTAAAAAGATTTGCAACCTTGTACATAGTTGAGTATCAAACAAGAATCCACGAAAACCCTATTACACAAGTTTTTACATTTTTTTAAACTTTTTGAAACGGCAGCTTCATTAACACTCACACCATATGCTTGAAGTTTCTACTGTAATCCCACAATAATGAAGAGGAAATTTTGATTCGCACCAGTTCATATTGTAAATCTAAGTTGAATCCATCTCTACAAAACGGTACCTAAAGTTTCTCGAAAGACTTCGCTACTAGAGAGTTATTGACGATCAAACGATAGGCACATTTTTTGGGATACCCTGACACCCTGTATATCTTCGTTCCATCCTACATTTTGCTTGGTTTTTATTATACAAGTGCATATGGTAATAACCGACTATTTATGAGCTTAATAGCGCCCAAGGCTTACGGCCTTACTGCTCAGTAGTGATCCCAAACATATTATGTCAAACTGGAAAGAGTAGTTTTTCACTTGAAAAAGTATATATATTTTGCTCGAAACGTGAGGCTTAACTTTCTCTTCCTTCCTCCCTTGTAGAAGTAACCATCGCGATCCCCATGTTTCAAAAAACAACCAGCGCAATCCCGAAGTTTTCTCCAACCGTGGCAAGACCTGTTTTCCTGTAAAGCAGGGAAAACCCTCTTTGTGAGTGACTGGCACGTCAGGGAGAAGGAGGGGGGAGGGGGGGGGGGGAATGGAGGAAGTTTGACGGTGATGGTCACCTTCACTATGTCTTGACGTCGCTCTCTCGACGCGACTCACAACAGCCACATCATGTGACGGGGGGGGGGGGGCACACCGTGTTCTCTCGGATTGTACCTTGCCCTCAGTTCATCGCATTCAACCCCCCCCCCCCCCCCCCCCGGCCTTCGCTTTGTGAGATCGGGCGGGGCTGAAATATCTCTCTTTCTCCTTGAAAATTACGTACATGTTACGCATCTTGTAAATGTACTCTACTTCCCTGAAATGACCTCTCTTCACTTCTTATATGGTCCGCGATTTTCGCGTTTAAAGAATTTTTTCCAGCCAATTTCACAAATACTTTATTTACAGCGATGAGCGATAACGATATAGGTGAGGAGCTCAATGGAAAGGAACGTCCGCTATATATTTCTGTAGTTATATTTCTGATCAAGGTTTGTTAATAATTTCTGTATTTGTAAAAATCTCATGAATTCTATCCTTGAAAGCGGTACTGGGTCAGATATAATAAAAACGATTCGAAATACCTAGGATTAAGCAAAAGTTAAAAAGGAGGAAGTAAAATAGTTTCTGTGAAAGAATATTTCTGACTAGAATAACAAAACTACATAAATTAATATTCAAATTATTCTCTTCTCCGGTCCTCACAAATTTTTTTTGTTGTGGGTGGTTTGCGCGAATTTTAAAGAAAATGACTTTCAATCGAATTCGGTATTAAACAGAGTTCAAAGAATTTTTTTTGCATTTTTGTTGTTATAAGTTTCGAAAAATATCAATTAGTCGTGGATATCTGCCACAACTTGGAGATTCCGAAAATTTCCCGTTGCAAGAATCAATTAAAACTCAATCAAAGTCTCTTTGCTTGATCACTCGCTCAACTTGTGTCAATTATTGAACGAGGCATTTTTTCCAGCATTTTCTCCACGGTTTCGAACTGCTAAACGAAAAATTTGAACAGTATGGTCTAAACTTTCAAATGTCTGCGAAATTGGGCGTCAGTTTGGGTTTTTTTCTAAGAAAACAGTAGAAGGTATTGAGAGAAAAATGGAAGCCAGTAAAGTGTATATGACTGAGCAATTAACACAACCGAAATAACCAAAATGTCAAAAATCGAAACTGCTTGCTGAAACTCTTTTTATCCCAAGAAGTCTTTCTCATTTTAATAATAAACCATTTATTTCAGATTGTATTTTTCGTCTATGATTGCATAGTATTCATACCGTTTAAAATCTTTGCTGATCCGTCCGAGAAGTTGAGCAAATCGCAACGAATAAAGGTAAGTAAAAGTCTTTTTCTTAGATTTAAATCTAAGCCATCACTTCATGAGTTCATGACCGTGTATTGTCACTGCAAATTGAGTGGGTTTGACTGATGTGTACAAGACCATTGTCTACTGGAATCGCTAAAATGGCGTGATCGTTTGGGGGAGGGGGGGGGGTGGAACCAGTTCGACAGCTGATCTATGGTTATCGAACTGTCTATTTAGTAAACAATGTCTGTGGCATCGGTCTAGGATACTCAATGGCGCCATGTGGTGTCATTGTTCAGGGAAAAAAGTTGGGAATCAAGGGGAAGGGGAGTAATTGAAATAGATAGAGCACGAAATAAAGTTATGTTCGGAACGAATGAATTTCATTAGTTATGACCTTAATTACGGTATCGTTTACCCCAGCATACCAGGTAAATACTGACCTTGAACATTCCTAACCGAATTATCTGTTTCACCTAACACAGGAGTATAAATAAACAGTGACAGGAAAAGTCATAGTTTTACAAGAGAAAAAAGTATGCTGCCTTGTTCTGTAAACATGTTGACACTTCCTCAAACAAAAAATCTAGATTTTTATTTGTTTGAGTTTCAGCTTGTCATCATAGTAAGAACTGGCCAAGGAATAATTGAGAATCTGGAAACTTTTTATGGGTAAGAAATCTGCCGAAAATCTACTACTTTCCCTAGAAAAAAAATCCCGACTTTATTCTGCATATTCATAAAGAAAAGTAGATGCTGTTCTTCTAAAATTTTGATAATAAATCATTTATAACGGTCAAATTTCAAAAACTATGAGAATTCGCAGAACGAACGTTTTCTGCAGTTTGTGAGACGTCTTTTTTTCCTTTCGCGTTTTCCCACTGTCTGCTTGGAACGCTTAGTCATTGAGCGGCTATTTTTAGTTTATATGGAGTCGCTCGAGTTCGCTGAATTAGAAAGTTTACTGGCAGTTTATGATAGCCTTTGGAAAAAACACATTTAGATCTAGTAGTCGGAAAATACGTTATGGATGGTTAGATTACTTTTCTGGACCAGCGAAATTAAAATCAGTCGTTTGTTGACAAGGATTCGCCCTCGATTTTGAAATCAGAATTTTCATGAATTCAAAGGTGATTCACAATTTCTTCAGCATCCATCTACAAAATGTGAGACTTTCGAGAAATTCTATACACCTTCGATTTTGATCTAGGGTATATCTTCACAGCCTTGTACTTTCTGTTTTGACAAATTTAAGCTAGATCTATATGAGCCATAACAAAATTTTGCATAACTTTCTAAGCTTTGAATTCTTTTGAGACGTGTCATTCAGTTTTTCTAGAATACAAATTTGTTTTGTGTTGGTCAAAGTAAAATTTGTGTACTATGACAAGTATATGAAATGTCAGAGAAAATGCGGTGAAAAAATGAACCGTGGGCCAGCGGTGCCCCATATCACCAATGAGTTCGAAAGGAAATGTAAAAATGCAAGAGTTCTTTGAAGTCGTTGGCCATCGATGTCCCACATTGCCGTCAAGGGGTTTATAAACATAACCGTATCGGTGAAAATATATCAGTAGTGTAAATTATTCATTACTAGTAATTATTCTAGTAACTCGGTATCTTCGCTGATCTTTCAAGTTGAAATGAAAGCGAAGTTTACTCTTGTAGTCACTCCTCTTCATAAAGTTAGTGGAACTTTTGCGCACTATTTTATAGCAATCTCGTCCAAATTGCTTGCTAACTGACGTGTGTGTAGCTGTCAAAGTGCCAATTGATCTCCGTAACGCTGCTGCGGATCAGCTGTTCAATGCTTCAGATTGTGATGACTACATTACAGCTGTCGCCCTTGATACTCGCTCCTATAATATAGAAGTCTAGTTTTCTCATAATAGTGGGCAGGGAAGGGGGGGGGGGGGCAAAAACTTGGAAAAATTACGACTTTTGCCAGATTCCGCGCGAAAAGGGAATCGCTTTGTATTAAGACACTGCTAAAAAAGTATATGTATTTTTATGTGGATACTAATTCAGACCCTCATCTAAGCCATTGTCCAAGCGGCAGCTTGTATGTTTTACCCATAACCGCTGATCACAACTGTAAACTCTCGCCCAGCACCGTACTCCTTGTGCGCCGCTTACGGTGCTGGACGAGTGTTTAGAGCTGCTTTTCTCAGCTACGAATGAATCATATGAACTGATGTTTGGGGAAATGGCTTAGCTGAAGGTTCTCAATCTGTACTCACACAAGAATTTCTAGATCTTCAGATTTGCCTGAATATCAAATTCAAAAAGATAGTATTGGAATTGACATGGTTCACCCACTCTCTTTGGAGAACACCCAATGTGTAAAAATGAAGAGCTTCATAAACATCAATGAACAAAGGTTACAATTTCTTTCGAAGCGCTCATTGAACTTGAAATGATAGACACATCTTCGAAGCCAGAGTGTAGTCTCCTGAACTTGCACTTCCGATCAAAGAGGAAGAGTTGATTTCGGGAACAGGTAGTAAACAGCTGTTATAATTAGAGAGAGGGAATGTGCTGTTAGTACTTATTAATGGTTATTAGATCTGAGCATAAACACATCTGTTGTTAGGAGAAAGTGAACTGTGCTCTAGGAAAGCATTGGCTACGATTAGCTTTACGGAGAATGTTCGTTTTCGAGCAGAACGTAAATTAATATTTTCTGGAATATGAAATCAATACTAGGTTTCACTATAAATAGTCTAGCTGGAGGTTAACGTACGTGACCTCTCAACTGGACTTTACTCGAAAGAATTGTCTTGGCGTAAGTTTGGATAGCTCCGCCTTCTGTGATAACCCCACCCACTCATCATCTAGACCCCGAAAAAATCTGAGGTGATTTTTCACAAAACATAATTTTTCTTTCCAGGCTCAACCAGTGAAAGAAGGCGATCCAGGATCAGCATGGCGACATGTAAATTCATTGAACAAGGAGCTCAAAGATTGTACATTTCCAGATTGCCATACTATAGCCGATCAGTGGAATGAATGTGTCAAGTACGGTCGTTTGATTTCATTTTATATTATTTTTGCTAATATGGTGATTATTGCAGAAGATTCGGAGAGAGAAGCTGTTTTGGCACTAGGGAGGTTTTGTCGATCCATAAGGAAAAGCAAAAGAGCGGGAAAGTTTTTGAAAAGGTAACCATTTTTCATGAAAAATTATAATGACAGGAAGTTTTGATGTTACAAAATTATTTAGTTAACACTTAAAGGTAAACGATGCCTCCCCTTGATTTCTGATTTTTTAAACTTTATTTTTGAGGAAGCGCAATTTTCAAATTCATAGCCCATTGAAGGTTACAATTGAAAACAGATTTGCAAGAACCAGTTTTCCCTAACAATAAGTACATTCTGTTACGAGATAATACTTTAAAGTTTCGTGTTCTTTGCCCTGGTAATTTGTCATTGATAATACTACACATCACTCTGACATGAAAAAGAAAAAGAACTTCTATGACAGATCTAGTACCAATAGGACAAAGAGCATCTTTCCTGGAACTTTGAATCTCAATGCACTATCGACTATTTTAAACACTAAATATGATGAAGATAATGACGGAAACAAAAGATTGAAGCAAAAAGAAATGATCACGGCATCAAAGAATTTGTTTGTTTCAGTGGGAAATGGGAAAATATCATTGGCGAACATTCGAGGAAATTGACAGAAGAGTAAACATGGTTGCGTCAGCTCTAAAATCTTTGGGCATGAAGGTATGGAAGCAAAATTATTTTTTTTAAAAATTTTTTGGGAAAATTTGCTGTCATTCAATGGGATTTGTTACAGCCAAAAGATGAAATTGTGATTTTTGCTGAAACTAGAGAAGAATGGATGACTACCGCTTTGGGCTGTTTCAAAGGCTCTTTTCCAGGTAAGGTTAATAGCTAATTTTTGAGCTTCAACTCAACCATAATTTGTTCAAGTGGTGACCGTATATGCGACTCTTGGAGAAGAAGCTGTAGAATTCGCTTTTAATGAAGTCAAACCAAAGATTATTTTCACTTCGGAGAACCTCATCTCTAAGGTTAGTCTTCGTAAAAAAAGAATCAGCTGATTTGTAAAAAAAAACGTTTTTCAGGTCCAAAAAGCAATGAAAGCCGGTGTTTCTGTCGAAACGGTGGTCTTTTTTGAAAGTCCAGATCCAGAAAGTCCGCATGAGTATAAAGATGATAATGCGAAAATCTTATCGTTCAATGATCTCTTGAACATGGGAAAACGTGAGTTGGCCTATTATACAGTAATTAGTAGAGAAAAACTTGTTAAAATGATTGGGTCCTTATTCAAGCGAAAAGTTCATCAAGTTTTTAGTTATAGGAGTAAATGATTTCACAGTTGTTGAACTACTAAGTTATTTTCATAAATCTCCAAAGTGAATTTGACCACGTTTTTGTACGCAGCAAATATGAATCAGTAGTCATTTGTCTAGTGCAGTGGCAATTTTACAAGAAAACAAATATATATATATACATAATTTTGTAACAAAACCGTAGAGTTCAAAGCTCAGCATTTGTTGAGCCAGATAATGTTCTACGCTAAAACTGCAAAACTTGAGTTTGATGACTAATTCCTATATTTTACTTGTTTTTGCTCTTCTTCAAAAAACAGAAAAAATGTTTGCATGGTAGGTAATATAGCGCTTACGAACGACATTAATATAATAGCTGGAAGTGTGTGCAAATGCAGACCGTACTCCGTCACAGACGAAAGGAAGTGCAGCGATCTTCCGAATCGTTATGCATAGATTTCTGACAAACTCTAGTCTACAAACTCTTGTTCTAGGTTTTAGGGGTGGTACTATCGCTTAGTAATGCAAAAATGTTAGCTGTCGTATCTTCTCACGTTGTTGTGCGAATGCACAATTTTTTTTTCAGCTTGACCAAAATTTTTCTTTCCAGCCGATCTCGTTGAAAATGCCCCGAAACCAACGGATATAGCTATGATTATGTACACTTCGGGTACTACTGGTAACCCGAAAGGAGTTATGCTCACGCACGAAAATATCGTATCAGCTGGAGCTGGACAAGGAGATGTTATTCCACTACAGTAAGCCAAGATTACCTCATTACTAACTCTCAAAAACCTTGACCAATAAATTTCAGTGAGGGCGATACTTACATCGGTTACTTGCCTCTGGCTCATATTTTGGAAGTTTGTGGAGAACTGGTAACCCTTTCAAAGGTGGGCTTTATTTTCACAATTTGGTTTTCTTTGATTTATTCCCGACTTTAGGGAGTTCGCATAGGATATTCATCTGCTCAAACCCTGTTTGACAGAGCTCCAAAAATCAAAAAAGGAACTCGTGGAGATTGCTTTGCTTTGAAGCCAACTCTAATGGCTTGTGTACCTGTAAGTTTCCAGTATTTACGCTTCTGATCTCATGAAATCTTTGGGTTGCTTGAAAGTCATAAATAAATATCGTTTAAAAAGAATTCTAAGAGGAGTTTATGAGACTTTCGAAGTGCCGATAATTTTCTCTTAATTCCTCTCTTCATCTACTGTCTCATGAACCCAAAATCAGAAGTTTAGGTAATATAAAAGAAGTTTCGAAAGTAATGATAAGCTTGTATGAAAACCTGATAAGCATCCCAGATTTCTCAAATTTTCCCTGGGAATCGTAATTTTTTATTCAAACCCATTCAGGCTGTCATGGATAGAATCCACAAAGCTGTGATTGAAGAAGTCAATTCAAACAGTCTTCTATTCCGAGAAATGTTCAAAGCATGCTATGAGAGGAAAAGGGCCAGATATGAGGAAGGCTACACTAGCTTCATTCTCAACAAGTATGGTTCTCTCGAAAATATTTATTTTGTTAACTTATAACTTCGAAACATTTAGGCTTGTATTTAATCGAATTGGAAAATTGCTTGGTGGAGAAATTCGCTGTGTGCTGTCTGGAGGTGCACCGCTAAGTCCAGAAACGCAAAGGTTTGTTATTTCCAGCAATTTTTTGAAGCTTTTTTGAACAAATGAATTTTTCTAAAAGTTAGCATTGAATTTTTTAGGTTTATGAACATCTGCTTCTGCTGTCCGGTTATCCAAGGATATGGTTTGACAGAAACTTGTGGAGGCGGAACCTTAGCGGATGGTGAGTATGGAGAAAAAGAGGATGCACAGAAATTGGAAAAGAAAACAAAACTGAAATAATTCCAGCACACGATCTCTCAACTGGAAGTGTTGGACCACCTCTAACATGCTGTGAAATAATCCTGGAAGAATGGTCAGAAGGTGGGAAATTCCTACACGTAATGATCGAATAGAGAATGGGTATTGAATTTTGAAAAAGAAACCGGATTTCGTGATCAGTAACGACTATTAGCTTGTGCGTGAAACCGAAAAAAACTGCAGAAAAAAACCACTTCTGAACTTATTTTCTGCACAAAATTGCCGTTCAGAATCGATTATTTTTTCATATTTTATCAAGTCTTTCGGGCAAAATTTGTCTATTTTTGTTATAGATTTTTGATTTAGCCGGATACTCCCCAAAGAATGATAAACCACAAGGGGAAATTTTAATCGGTGGAAAGAACGTTGCACTGGGATATCTGAATAACGATGAGAAGACAAAGGTGAGTGCCATAATTTGGATTTTTTTCAACTGTAGTGAAGTTATCAGTTTGGTTTATAAATCCAGCGCTAAAAACAACGAAAATTCTACTCAGAAAATATTTTGAAAATCGCAGTTCATATTAGTACATATTTTTTAGAGCACGTAGCTATTTTTTGTGCGGATTTGAATTTTATTTAGAATGAAGGGTCAAGAATTGCGAATCAAAACAGTAGAAACAACTAGCCCACGCGATTTTCTTGCGTTTAAAAAAAGCAATATGAATTTTTTTTTATTAGAAAAAGGAAATAGTGCAACTAAGATTCAAAATAAATCTAGGTTTGTGAAGCTTTTAGGACTTTCACCGCCCAAAATTCAGAAAATTATAACATGAGTATTTTTTTCCGCTTCTATTGCTCTGATACGTCAACATTGTGATTTTCCCTCGTTATTAGCCATATTGTACCAAATGAAATCGTTGGATCTAGAATTCACATCTTCTGTGAAAATGTCTTATGAAAAATTTTTGTGCAAAACACATCCAGCTTGATATTATGACCCATTCTAGGAGGACTTTGTTTTGAGAGATGGTAAACGATTCTTTGCCACCGGCGATATTGGAGAATTCAGAGAGGACGGGTCTTTGATGATTATTGGTAAGAACCACAAATAGTAAAATATTCATAATTCTCACAAGCGGATTTTTTACAGATCGAAAGAAGGATCTTCTAAAGTTGGCCCATGGAGAGTACATCTCACTAGGAAAAGTTGAAACACATATTCTGACAAACCATTGGGTAGAGAATGTGTGTGCCTATGGCGATTCTTCAAAGGACTACATTGTTGCGCTCATCGTGCCGGAGCGTAAAAATCTGAAGCGACTTGGGGAAGAGGTGAGCAGAAGTAAATTGAAGTACAGATAAAAGTCTAGCATATTTGACGGTGATAAATGTAACTGCGGTGGCGACAACACTTGCGCGTAGAAAATGAAGATATTTTTGAGCCTGTGCCCTACGGCAGTGATGCGCGAGTGTTGCCCTTATTTTTTCCTTCTTCTAAGGTAGTGTATTTCAACGTTTCTCCCTCTAAAATTTTGTTTCTGCTCATGAAAGCGCAAGAAGTTTTTCTTGATTACAGCTTGATGTCTCATCCGATGACATTGAAGAACTCTGCCATAACAAAAACGTGGTTGATGCTTTCTTGAAGGAAATTCAATCCCATGTGTCAGGTATAACTTTGTGCCATTCTTAGATCTTCTCAAGGCAATTTTTTGAGTTTTTGAATTCTTTTCTGCTCTAAAACCCTTTACCTTTTTCAGGCAAACTACAAAGAGTCGAAATCCCGAAGAAAATTCACCTCTGCTCTGAGCAATGGACCCCGGCTACAGGCCTGCTTACTGAAGCACTCAAATTGAAAAGAAAAGCCATCGAAAAGGCTTTTAAGGACGAGATTGCAGAATTGTACAAATAAACTAGAAATAGCTGACTGTTCATCCTCACCTATTTGCCTTACCTTCTACTCATTGCTCATCTTTCTCGTGTCACTGGTAACTGGTCTTTAGATTCGTTATAACTATGTATAGAGATTCTTTTTTTGTTCTGCTTGTAATTCCAGCTTATTTTTTTCTTGCGTTTCAATTCGAATCCTCACGATATGCATTTCTACATCAGAACACCTCATCTTCTCACATTTGCTCAAATGTGTGGAGTTTATAGCAGATGATCTTGAATAGCGTTTGATTCGGTAGTGATATTGATACTCGACGTAAATCTCTGTATTTGTGTTGTTTGAGCATTTCTCAAGCTGATCATGTTTACTGTAAATAAAGGTTTGTTTTCTTGAGAGGATGCCATTTATCAGACATAACAGATTGCTTATCAAACACGAAGTCTGTTGATCGGGAAAGTTTGTGTCTCTGTTCTTCTCGAAGAATAGCCGAGTAAAAAGCTTTGGAAAGAAAAGATTAGAAAGAAATGGAAATTCTATAGCTCTTTGTTGCGGTGCTTTGCAATAGGGAGTTGCTTCCTAATTTTTATAAATACATAGATGTCCATAATGAAGATATCGCTCAAATGTTCTTATGTTCTGGTCTTGATTTTGTTTCACTTATCACAAAAAAATCAGAATGGTTGTTTCTAGATTCATGAAGAGTAAAACTGACAACCATTAATATCTAAAACTTAAGCAACCCAAAATCGAGTAAAACTCAAATATGGGGTGAGTTTAAAGAAAAAATGAACTCTCAATAGATCGGAAAGACAGAAATAGATTTCAATTTATTTTCAACAAAAAAGAGCTTTTCTTCACTGAAATACCACTTAAGCTAAAACTTGTCAATCGAACATATGAATTTCGTGATTTTAAAGTTTTGTTTCTGTGTAAGATTATCTTCATTACCGAATTAAAACACAAAAAAATTTGAAAGTTGCTATTTTCACATTCGCAAGACTGTACGAGAGCATTTCGTTACTTCTAAATCAAGTGAATGTGTTAGCAAAAATCTCAACATTTCGGTAATAAAAATTTGAACACTAAGGACCATAGCAGCGACTTTTATCTTCGTTTCAGCCGAGAAATGGTTATAATACAAAATGATAGAATTAATCTGAACAGTTGGTAGAATTATAATAAAAAATGATAGAATTAATCTGAACAGTATTTATTAGTAGTGAATGATCTTGGCACTGAGTATCAAATGTGTATACACGCATATGAATTTACGAAAAAACATGGTCCTTAGCGATTTGTAATCGATTTTGACGGTCTTCTTCTAATTCTGCAGAACCCAGCCAAGGACGAGTTGACGGCGATGTAGCTACCTAAAGAGAAAAGAAATGTAATTTTACGAATATATTCAGTTACATACTAATGCGTGTAACAGTGAATATGACGGCAATGTAGTGCACTGCGGTGCTGACAGTAATTGCGCGTGAAAATGGTCCGTGTAAACCACATATGGGTCGTTTGTAAAATTGTGGCGATGGATTTAACTGCGGTCTTCGCGCCCATAGAAACAGAAAACACTCATACAAAACGGCATCACCTGAATTCTTAACTCAGTCTTTACCAATGTCTAAATACTGTCATAAGTAAGAAGGAAAACCAGTCAAGTGGAGATGAAAACTTAGAAAATGCGGTTGTGCCGGGAGGTGCGTGCGTGTCGCGAGCGGTCGCGCCTCGTCACGATTTTTCGAATGCCCTACATATATCAACTTTTGACCTCCAGCTATTCTTACGCGCAAGTGTTGTCAGCAACGCAAGAACACCTATATTGAACGTCGAATCTACGAGCTGACAAGAACTGATTGAAGGCTTACCATGGTAGCTAGTACTATTGTATTCGTCCAGCCAAGGTATAAACAAAGCCCGAAAAGTTCTCAGAAAATCATTTGACATAGAGCAATACAAGGCAAAACTCAAAGAACTGAAAAGTAGAATTGTACAAGATTGTAAAAATTTTATATTTTTTTACCGCACCTGTACAGTAGTGTTAACATTTCCATAAAGCTACCAACATGATCGTAGATGCGAATCCCGAACTCTTCCCCGTAAATTGCCATAAGCAAGTTAAGTATGCCGTTTGGAAGCTCGACCTATATCAAGGAATCCCTTTTTGAAACGAATGATAACTGGTATCTGACAAGTGAATTATTCCAAGATAAGTAGGCAACAAACTCACCACGACGCATAAGAGCAATATTATAACTAGCATTCTGGTCGTTCGTGGTCTTGAAGAGAATTTTCTTCCAGCTCTGGCATCGGATCCTGTACAACGTGGCCTGGTGGCATGTTTCCATTTGTTACGCCTCCTTTCAACGCTTTTCAATGATCTGGAGTGAGAAATGTTCGAGTAATTTGATCTGAGCAGTTGTTTGCTTTTGAGCGTTTATTTTTGGTTTCTATACCGCGAATGAACAGAAACAAGCACGACGGCTTTAGAGAAATTGGAGAATTGAGTTTTCAGGTTCAAATTTGTTAAAGAATGCTCACATAAAATCACTTTCGAAATCGTTTGAGATGTTAACTAGATTATAAGATACTTCATAAAAATTGTGTTCATAACAATTTTGCTCAAACATCCAATAAACCTCATGCTTTCAAATTTTCTTAACATTCGGTATGTAAATAAGTACATTATAAGCTCACAAAATAATATTTTAGAAAAATTGTGGAGATGTACAAGTTCAGAAATAGGTTTTATTACTAGCTGTCAAAAGCTTGAAAATAGAATTTCGCAGTAAGAACTCTGAGTCAAAAATTTCCCGCTTCTTTTGTTCTACATGAAAACTAGGTTTATTTCAAAGTGATTAGCATACAATATGCGCAGATCTCCTGGATTTTTCAGTCGCTATTGTAAAGTAATGGACGGGCGGAGTTGGCATCAAATCATGTGGGTGGAGTTGGCATAGGTAGTACGTTTATGGATTGGAAAATCCTCCTTAGGTTAGGATATAAGTAAGGGCTCCACTCGATGTTTGATTTGCATATTCTTGTCATTCTCGGACTTTACCGCCCTCGTGCTCCCAGGTATGAAGTTTGAAAGTGAGCGAAAAACTACCCCTCCATTCCATTGTAGCGCACCAATGTAGCGGGTTCGATTTTTTTTATTTTACTCATAAAATTTCTAATCTTATTGGACATTCTCATGAGATTAAAATTCGTAATCACTGACATAAATAGA